TTGCGTTGGCCCGACGCCCTGGGGCGGGGCAGCTGCCTGCCCAGTGCCAGGATGCGCGGTACGGGATGAGGGGCAGCGCTGGGGGTCCTCACTGGCCCCCTCCAGAAGGGGGTTGATGCTCGCGGGGAGGGGTAGGTGTTGTGCCTTGTTTTTCTCCTTTCCTTTAAGGATATTTTAATGCCCCCTCCCCCTTTCCCCATCCGGGGAGCGCGTTCCTGCGGGCGGGCTGGGGCGATGCGTGGCTCATCCTCAGAGTCCGTGGGTCTGGCGGGGGTGTTGGGCTCCAGCGCAGAAGATGCGCCTGACCCAGCCGCAGCGCCTGGGGAGCTCCTCCCGCTTTAGTGTGTGTTTTTCTCCTTTCCTTTAAGGATATTTTAATGCCCCCTCCCCCTTTCCCCATCCGGGGAGCGCGTTCCTGCGGGCGGGCTGGGGCGATGCGTGGCTCATCCTCAGAGTCCGTGGGTCTGGCGGGGGTGTTGGGCTCCAGCGCAGAAGATGCGCCTGACCCAGCCGCAGCGCCTGGGGAGCTCCTCCCGCTTTAGTGTGGGGTGCAGTGGTGCGAGTCCAGAGCCAGTCTGCTGCCTGCTTTGCCCGCTCACGGATCTGCTGCCGAGGAGCTCTAGTAAGGGTGGCTTCTGATCTGCTGTTCCCCCGCAGTGACTGGTGTCTGGTTCCTTGGCCCAAAGCTAACATCCTGCTTCTGAATAAGGAGATTTGCACCTTAAGGTTAGTATTGTTGAGGCCTGGGCTGAATGTAGTAGGAGTGGGTGGTGCTTTTCATTGGTTCTCCTTTAGTCCTTAGTGACTTGTGATACAGAGTATGAGCTGCTCTGGCTGAGAGCACTAACAGCTGAGTACTGTGTTCTATGTGATGATCAGAAAGAGGACTGTTCCTATTGCCCTCTAATCCTTGTTGGAAGAGATCAAGTATGTGTACAGAGGTCTCTTGTGGGCATACCTAGAGAGAGGAAACCGAACACTTTGTCTTGCAAGTAGTCAGGTGTCTGTCTCTTTGATACAGCTTTGGGTACAGAGTGCAAGAGAGGAGAGGTTTCAAGCCATGTACTCTAGGAGCTTTGGAGCTTCAAGGGCTCAGGGGGATGGAGGTGGAAGAGGAGTCCTAAAGTGAAGGAGATACTAGTCAATTTATCTAGACTTTTCCTATTAAGATAAGCACATCGTGTCATTTCTTCACCTTGTAACAAGTTGCAATGAATTTGAGCCCCTGCTGCAAGGACTTGAGGGAGGGAATGGGATCTACTGTTCAGTAAGTACCCTTCTGTTCTGTCAGTCCCTGGGATGATGAAGTGAAGCCACATCCTGTGTAATGATATAAAACTCTGTCTTTGGCAGATTACTTTGTGTTGTTCAAAATTGTGTAAATTAAGTATGTGGGAAAACACGTATAGAGGGGGAAAAGCCAATAGTTGTACAGGAGTTGATGTGTCTGAACTCCACTGAGACTGCTCCTTCTAAAATAAAAAGTGATACTTTGCACCCCCATCCCTTTACTGCATAATATAAATTTGGATCTCCTGGGAGAATGTAATTAACGTCCATTAATATTTGAAGACTTGTGTCTGTGAATGCTAGAGCTTTCTAATTTATTTTCATACAAATGTCAGGGGAAGGTTGGTAAATTCTCTTCCTACACTTCCAAAAGATACCCTTCTAGTATCTACTTCTAAACATGCCATAACTCCTCAACATGGAATGTGGTTTGTCACTCACTTCTCTATTTTTGAGGTTTGTGTTATCACTTGCTAAACTTATTACAACACAATATTTACCTCCTGTCTGCAGTTTCAAGACCTTTGTGCTTCTCCCAACAATGACCACATTCCTAGGAATTTCACAGATAAATCACCATCTTCATTTTTCATGCCATCAGGTGCTTCGTAGCTTTCAGTGAAGATATACATAATATGATTATACACAGGGGCACCCAAGTGTGAGTCTGGAGAAACTCTTGTGTTATGCTGACTTGATACATTTCAGTTGTTTAAACTGAAAATGCCCTTTACCTGGTAAAATAAAAATACTTTGAAATTGTTCTTGTCTTATGAGTACCTAAACATAGGGGGTTAGTTTTTAAGTTGTGCTCATCAGAACACTAATTGGATGTTTCAGGCAACTGCTGTTTACTTCTCTAAATGACAAAATTTAATAATACATCTTAAAAGCTTGTAACAGGAATTAATAAAACAGGAAAATTCAAAATTAGAGGAGACTGCATAATTCATTATAGCTATTTTCTTGAAGATCCTTCTGAAACTAAAGAAAGAATGCCATTAACTTTTTAACTCCAACTTTTCATATAGGCCTCCTACAAACTCAATATTTTTATATTAACTTTTTGAAACTGCT